CACACACACACACACACACACACACACACACACACACACACACACACACTTCTTGTGTATGCATAGTTATTTGCTTACTGAATCCCCGTTAGAATGTGAGTCACTTGAGGGTGGTGCAGGAATCCTTTGTTTTTTTTTAACCTTTCTTTGCATCTTCTGCACTTAATACATAATAAGCTCTTAATAAGGGCCTGTAGTGTCGGCTGTGATTGTCACCAATGTGCTGTTACTCAGGGGTGTCAAGCATTCAACAGCCGATGTCTGAACCAGATTAAAATAGAGTTCCTATCTGATTTTAATATTTATGTATTAATAAAAAAGAAATAGATAAACTTGTGGTTTTCTAAGTTAATATGTGGGCTGCAAGGATCCTCATGTAAAGTATAGTGCCTCCCCACTCCCTTCCATTGGCAGCTAGGTTGAACAGTGGATAGAACATAGGGGCTTGGAGTTAGGAAGACCTGAGTTCAAGTTTAACCTCAGGTACCTACTAGTTGTGTGATCCTGGGCAAGTCACTTAACTGCTGTTTGCCTCAGTTTCCATATCTGTAAAATGGGAATGATAATAGCTCCTACCTCCCAGGGTTGCTGTGAGGATCAAATTAGATAATAATTTTAAAGAGCTTAGCACAGTGCCTGGCACATAGTAGGTGGTATGTGTGTGTGTGTATATATACGTACACATATATGTTATATATGTTATATATGTGTTTAATATATATATATATATACACACACATACATATATATGTTAGTTATTATTATTATTTCCATTTAAGTTTGACATTGCTGTAGAGGTCAGTGGATCAGTGAGCATACCAGTGTGGGTACTTCCAAACAGCTCACAGCTCTGCCAGTTCACATGCAAGTCAAGACGTCACCCTTGTGATGTCATTGTCCCCCTTCGAGAACAAACAATAGTCTGATCCATACATCCTTATATCATCTAATAAATAATCCATAGACTACCCATTATGCTGGGGACCTCCCTCTAGACCTCCCCTTCCCCTAGGATGCTAAGATTCTTTCTGCTTTGCATGTTATTAGGAGGCATAGTCGATACTATAGTTGAATACCGGATTTGGGGTCAGGAAAACCTGAGGTCACGCCTTGTCTCAGCCCCTTACTAGCTGGGTGACTCTGGACAAGGCAGTTAACCTCTTTGTACCTGTTTCCTCATCTGTAAAATGGAGATGATAATAGTACCTACCTCACAGAGTCATTTCGATGATCAAAATGAGATTGTGTATACAAAGTGCTTTGTAAACCTTCAAGGGTTATGTATGTAAATGTCAGTTATAATAAGGAACCGTATGTACATGAGAAAACTGAAAAGCCGAGAAACGAATAGCCTGAAAAATGCGGCAAATTCTGTAACCAAGGAGTTGAGAAGACCACAGCCCCCTAAACAATCCTTCCTCAGCTTTACCCCGAGGCCTGGCGGTGGAACAGCCTGGTTAGTTATTCTTTTTATCCTGTTCTCTATTGCTCGCCAACGCTCTGGGTCTTCCCACAGGTAGTCCCTTGGACAGAGAACGCTTTGGCTTTCTTGCATTTAGTGGCATTGCTCGCCTGTCCTGGCTGGTGAGTCTGTTTGGGGAGCTTGCCTTTGTTTCAGCCGCCATGGAAGAACAGAAGGAGAATCAATATCAGAAAATGACTGTAAACTTGGAGACCGTGGACAAGAGGTGAGTCAGTTGGGGGGCGGGAGGTGGTGCGTGACTGTGGGAACTTGAACTCATACGGCCCTTTTAGTAGCCCATATTTCATTGGTTGTTCAAGACAATACTGTCTGAGTCTGGAGATGGAGAGTATTGGAAGGTGGAACATTAGAGTAGAAAGGGAAGACTAGGTTTGGAATGAAAAATTGTTGTTAAGTCGTATCTCTTTTCTCCTACCCAGCAACCTATCCCTCTGAGCAAAGAATTAACAAAAAGAGGTGGGTTAAATGCAATTCAGTAAACTTTCTACTGAATCTGACAATATATGAAATGCCCCCTACCCACAGCCCCCCACCTCTGCAAAGAAGGGAGCTCCATTTTCTCCTTTTTTTTGGATACAGGCTTGGTGATCATCATTGAACTACAGTCAGTTTTGCCTTGTTTGTTCTTTCTATTTACATAGCCATTGTGTCTATGCTATTGTTCCATTTAACAGATGAGGTGCAAAGAGGTTTAATGGCCTGACTGAAGTCACACAACTGATTAGTATAAGGGCTAGAAATAAAACTTGGGCCTCCCTGTATTCTAGTTACATACTTTTGGGGAGGAGGGGGCTATACCTCACTCTTCTCAGAACAGTCTGATTTTTAATTCCTCAAAGGACCAATGTTCCTTGAAGTTAAGAGGGAATTTTCTTTTAAAAGTGTTTGAATCTTTTGACTAAAGTGAAAACTCTGCATGTGAGCACTTTCATGAGGCTGTGAGAGTAGCCCCAAGTATGAAGTTCTGTTTAAGCTTGCTTGCTGTACCCCCATTAAAGTTTTGAAATTTGAAAGTGACTTTATGGATAATATAGTCCCGCTCTTAATTTTCGGAAGAAACAGAGGCTTGGGGAGGCACTTATCCAAGGTCATACAGAATTCAGGTGTTCTGACTCCAAATCTAGTGTTCTTACACACCACACACACACACACACACAGACACACACATTTTTCTGTTGGCATGTTACACTTGGCATATGGCCAAGTTCATTAAACAGCATGGTTGCTAATTGGGTAAAACCTCTAAGTATCTTTTTTTGTTCTGTTTTGTAGTAATTACTTGGCTATTAGCATCCAAATCAATTTGACAGACTTTAAACACTAACCTTGAGCAAAGAAAGCCCTGTCAAGAATATGAAGAGGCCAGGCCCCAGCCCAACATTCCTGAATTGATCTGAACCCTTTTTGGAATTGATTAATGTAGTTTTCTTCTGTAGCCTGCCTTGGGCTGATGTTTTACCTGGTCTTACTGCTCTCTTGTGTAATGAGTTGCCATTAGCTACCTTCATTTTGTCCCCCAACTGCCTTTTTAAGCACTTCAGGGGAAGATGCCATCAATTCTCCATCTTTCTGAATTAGCTGATCAAGGCCATTTTTGTCTCGACCATTCTGTTTGTGATTCTGTAGATAGTAATCATGTTTATCGCCAGTCAGTGAGCCTTTATTCAGTGCTTACAGTGTTCTAGGCTCTGTGATAACACTGGGAATACAAATATAAGCAGAAAGACTATTCCTCTGCCCTCAAGGAGCTTACATTCTAGAGGAGATGAAAAGCCAAAGTGGGGAGATAAGGAGGCAAGGGAGGAAGTCTGGAGAGGATTGTGCAGTGTATTGAGATCCTGTTGGCCTGGGCACCTTCTTTAACTGGAGGTTTGGGGAGAAGCCAGCCAATCAGAGAGCAGGACCCTGGCCAGAAGGTACTTGAAATGGGTGAATTTTGAGTGGCTGGAGTGAGACTTCAGAATGAAGAGAAAGTTCCTTACAGCCTGTCAGCCTTCATTTTTCTGGATTGAATGACTCTATTCTTTTGAGTTTGCCTTGAATAAACTTCTTCAAGATGGAGGGCCATCTCACGGAAATGGACGAGACTTTTCTTGCTTGGCCCCAGGGGATGGAATTAGGATCAATGATGAGAGTTTCCAAAGAGGCACATTCAGACTTGATGTCAAGCATAACTTCCTAACTACCCCTGGAGCTGTCCCCAAAGAGGGTGAGCAGCCTTAACTGTGCCTTCCTACCTCCCGTTTCCATGCCTTCCTTGTATAGATATTCTGTTGGTACTAATTTCTGTAAATGTTAGCTCCCCTGATAAATATCTTCCCCCCATTAGACCATGAGAAGACATGATCCTTTTTTTTTTTTTTGGCCTTTTTAATTCCTATTTAATCAGTAAGCATTTATTAAGCACCTACTATATGTCAGGCTTTGTGCTAAGTGCTGGGGAAAGAAAGAAAGGGAAAAGGTAGTCATACTCTCCAGGAACTCACAGTATGTAAAGGAAAAAAATACAAACGGAATAAATATAGCATAAAGCAAAGTGCCTAACAAATTTTGTTGTTGTTATTTAGTCATTTTTCAGTTATGCCTGAATCTTTGTGACTCCTACTTAGGGTTTTCTTGGCAAAGGTACTGGAGTGCTTTACCATTTCCTTCTCCAGTTCATTTGACAGATGAGGAAACCGAGGCAGATAGAGTTAAGTAACTTGCCGAAGGTCACACAGCTAGCAAGTGTCTGAGGCCAGAGTTGAACTCAGATCTTCCTGACTCCAGGCCTGGCACTGTAGCCACTGCGCCTCCTTGCTGCCTAGCCTAGCACATAGTAGGTGCTTTAAAATGCTTGTTGAATAACTGATGGGGGTTCTCCATTACTAAAGATCTTCAAACAATGGCTGGAGATGTTGTTGGGAGGATTTGTTTTTTATGTCTAGGTTGGACTAGAGACCATTCTCTGACTAGTCGATCTCTAAGCTCTATAGCCTGTAGAATATGACTGTGCATTAAGAAAAGCATGGCTTCAAAGACCACCAAAATTTTCTGGTTGCTTGGTCTGGCCACCCCCCAACCCCCTTCCTGCTGTTGGTGAAATCAGAAACAATTGTAACCTAAAGGATGATCACAGTCATTCTGATTTCTTGTCTGCAAAGGGAGAGAAATAGACCTATATAATAATAATGATGATAATAATAATAATGATAATAACTCCATGTTAATAGCACCCTTATGTTTATAAAGCACCCTTGTGAGGTAGGTAATGCAAGTGTGATTATTCCCATTTTACTGATTAGGAAAATGGAGCTCAGAGAAGTTAAGTGACTTTCCCAGAATTACATAGCTGGGTTGAGCCCACGTCTCTCAAGACCCCAGGTATTCTACTTCCAACTGCAACGATGATGATGATGATGATGATGATGATGATGATATTAGCTACCATTTATGAGTGCTTTATGGTTTGCAAAGCACTTTATATGTGTTATTTCATTTGATCTTCACAACAACCCTGTGAGGTCCATTTTGTAGGTGAGGAAACTGAGACTGAGGTTGAGTGATTTGCCTAGGGTCCCACAGCTAGTAAGGGTCTGAAGCCAGATGTAGGAAGATGAGTCTTCCTGAATCCAGGCCCAGTGCTCTGTGCACTGTGCCACCTAGCTGCCTTCTGGTAAATATCTGAGACAGGATTTCAGCTCAGTTCTTCCTGATGCTAAATCCAGCCCTCCATGCTCTGCAGCCTCTTATAGGGGTGTCTAGGGCAAGGGTGGGGAACTCCAGGCCGTATGTGGCCCTTTGACTGAAACTAAACTTCACAGAACAAATCCCTTTAATAAAAGGATTGTTCTGTAAAACTTGCACTCAGTCAAAAGACCGTACCCAAGAACCTAGAAGACCACATGTGATCTCAAGGCTGAAGGTTCCCACCCTGGGTCTAGAGAACCGATTGATTAGCTTGTCTTTAGGTGGTCATTGAAGCCCCTCTTTCACATTTGCCAGTTATATTTCCCCTTCACTTTTCTTTTTCCCATCTGAGTCAGAGTATCAGGAGATTTTTTTTTTTAATTTTTAGGCAATTGGGGTTAGGTGACTTGCCCAGCATCACACAGCTAGTAATGTCAAGTCAGGAGATTCTTAAAGCCATTGAAAGAGGTAGGTCACTATTCTGTTAGCTTTTCCTCCATACCTAGGAAATGCCTCAAATTTATTTTTAACAAGTATCAGAAAAAAGCCCTGGACTTTGATAAAAAAAAAAAGTTATGTGAAACCCACCTAGTTACAAAGATCTTGGTACATTTATGTGAATGTCACTCAAGCTTATGAAAACCAAGCAACAGAATTAAATTTGCAGAGTACATACATGCAAATATAACCAAGTAATCTAGACAGTTCTAAAAATGAGAGAATGAACAGCCAAGATAGAAATTTACTAATGAGAGAATGCTTTTAGAACTAACTGAAAACTTGTCCAGCTCCTGTATTCCTTGCCCTCTTGCCAGGTACCAGATGTGAATATTGATGTATCAAAGAGCAACAAAGAAATAATTGAATACTGGTCCAAATAGGAGGCTTGCCTCGCTGCGGGCGTTTCAGACATGGTCAGTACCTGTTGAGTTGACCTGTTTTGTGTGTCCAGGACCACAACGTGATGGGAAGAGAGGTTGTTCTTACCCTCTGTATGAAGGATTGGCCTTTCCTGCTCGAGATAGGGGAATGAGAGAGTGAATTTTATATCTAGAACCTGAGGCTTCTCTCAGGCTCCAGCCGGATATCATTGCAACAGCTAAAAGTATGCTTCTTTCTGGGACTAGTCACTTTGTATTAAGACTCCTCTGTGAGCTGTCTCAGGGGACAGCATTTCTTTCCTCTAGTTATCGATGAGTTTGTCATGGCAGACTGAAGTGGAGCAGCGCCTGGGGAGAGCCCTAAAATAGCCCTCAGTGAGGGGTCTGAGGAACAGCAGATGTCTTTGAAACCCCCGTGGCCCCAGTTCATGTCCGAGAAGAAAGCTGTGGCTGACACACATAGAGGTTACTTCACTCCTCTGCTGAGGGGTTTCCTGCAGACTGGCCTGTTGGGCAGCAACGAGTTGGTGGTTGAGAGGAAGATTCAATTTCCCTGTGAGAGCTCCAGTGGCCCTGTTAGTGAAGTGAATCTTTTTTGAGTTGGGGAAACTGTCAATAAGAATGTTTGCATATGAGGGTTTTTCTAAAGGAAGGGCAAACTGGCAGATGTTTAGTGTGTGGGAACCCAGGCACTTTCATTGGGTTGTTTGATACAAGTAGTCCACACAAAAGAACTGGGGGAAAAACACAAAAAAAGTTAAGGAACCATTGGCTCACGGACCAGATTCATTCCTTGGGTTATTTCTATCTATCGTACAGGGATACCTATCATGTCTGTGGTTGTAAACACAATAGGATTTTTTTTTTTGCTAAATAAATGTTTAATGAAAGAATGTATATACGTATTTGTATGTATGATATATATTTATCAATTCAAAATCAGTAAACATATTTATGATACTCTATAAACAAAAAGCTATAATATTTCATGATTTTTTGAAAGTTCAATTAAAATTTAGACTACTGAGAAAGATCTATGTGCTAACAGAGAAAACAATAGCAATCAAAATTGTATGATATATATATTTTTTTTAGTGAGGCAGTTGGAGTTAAGTGACTTGCCCAGGGTCACACACAGCTGGTGTCAAGTGCCTGAGGCCGGATTTGAACTCAGGTCCTCCTGACTCCAGGCCAGTCCTCTATTCACAGCACCATCTAGCTGCTCCATGTATATACTTTTAAAAATAATTCACATCTCAGTTTATAAGATGGCCTTTGATTACTTAAAAGCATTTAAAACATTGAAAAATGGCTATTTGTTCATTTAATGAGGGCAAGCATTTGTGACTTCATTGAATATTAACTTTATTGAAAGTTTAATTCATGTATGTGCCTCTTGCTAACACAACAGGATTTTAAAAATCTTAAGTAGCAAAGACCATGAGATGGACATGATAATTCTATTTCATTTTTTTTCTCTCCTTTTATCTCTTTGTCTATTTTTCTGTGTTTATGTTATGTATAGCTTCATGTGTAAAGTGTTCCTCACTCTCTTTTTTCTTTCATTCTCTCTCTGTGGATACTTCTAGTATCTTGGTCCTTGATTCAGTAAAGGACTTGATTTATCTACTGGGCTTTTGCTACAATCACTGGACATATAATCACCATATAATATGAGAAAGGGCAGACAGCCTCTGTCTTGTAATCATGGTACCTCACACTCCTCTTTGCCTTAGGCAACTTGGCCTTTCCTGGTCAACCTTGTAGTGTAATTATGCACACCCCAATAAGCAAGTTGCCTTTTCTTTGTTCCCTCTTCTTCACTGACTTCTCTGTCCTTCACTCCTCTATCTTCTCTCGTGTATATCACCATCTTCAAATGAGATAACACATGCAAAGTGCTTTGCAAACATTAAGGGGTTATGTAAACGCTAGTTATTATTATTATTGTTACTGATATAATTAAAGTGTATTTAGAATTATTTATTTTATTTATTAAAGGTTTTTGTTCCCTGTTTTGCATTTACAAGAAAGGTAAATGGAACATTTCATATTTATTTTTCTTATGAAAAATAAGTTGTTTTTCCTCACTTATGTAATCTTACTTTTTTTCCCCAGCAGGTCAGTGAACTCTGATAGACTAAAACCTTACTCACTCCTGCCCTCGAGGCCTTGTAAGCAGCAACATAAATAGTAGTCTATACTTAACTGCTTACTGTCTGTATTCAGCTGTAGAATATAAGCCCCCTGAGGGCAGGGACTATTTTTGATTGTTTTGTCCTCGTATCCACAGCTTGTAACACAGTGTCTCATACATAGAGATAGAGAATAGAGACTAGAGCAGTGATTTCATCATTCCAGGGAGCTCCTAACTAAAGGAACTCCCTTTTCATGTGGGTCAGCACCTTCTCTCTACCTCAGAGTATAAGAGTTGTCCAGAATGCTGAGAGGTTAGGTGACTTGCCCAGGGTCATATGCCATTATGTATCACAGGCAAGACTTGAACCCAAGTCTCCATGGTTCCAAAGTCTCTATCCACTGTGCCATGGCTATCTTGCACATAGTAGCTAATTAATAAATATTTGTTGGATTGGTTTGGCAAGTCGTATCAAAGAAAGACATTCCCCCGAGTCAAAGTTTTGAGTGTTCGTTCTCCTATGTGGGTTATGTCCTAGCTGTTTTAGTGTCTTGTAGCTCAAATAGGGCAGCTGTTGGCATGGTGGATAAAGCGCCAGGCCTGGAGTCAAGAGTTCAAATCTGACCTTATGCACTTACTGACTATGTGACCCTGGGCAAGTCACTTAACCTTGTTTGCCTCAGTTTTCTCATGTGTAAAATGAGCTAGAGAAGGATATGGCAAACCATTCCATTATCTTTGCCAAGAAAACTCCAGATGGGGTCATGAAGTTAGATACAACTGAAAAATGACTACATGGACATGTGTGTTCTTCAGTCTTCATCATGGCACCAATCTTTTGCTAGGACTGTGCAGAGTGAGCATTTGATAAAGAATGAATGAAAGAATGAGTTCTCCTTCCTGAGCGTTAAACTTCCTAATAATGTACCAGTTGACAGGGATGTCTATCAGGAATGGTAATTGTGTCCTTGTGGGGGTTGGCAGGCGGCAACAAGACCAAACCAACCTGAAGTTTTAGAGAAAGGCAGTCATGGAAGAAGGAAATGAGCCTGTTGAATTCCAGCTGACTGTGGTGTTCCTTTCAGAAGATCTAATTCCATGATTTCTTTCTCTTTGAGTAGGCCACTGACTTGGATTGAAGAAAGAGCCTCTGGCCTGAAATATGAGCGGCGTATTAATTTCCTTTTTGAATCTGGTCGCCTGGAAAGTATCCCTCCTCGAACTCAAGGACAGAAAAATATTTTCCTGAGAGATCAAGACATATTTGTCAGGAAACTTTTGGGTCAAATGTCCACAGAAGATCTGGCCAAGGAGAAGAAACACAGCCTGCACTGCCTGGGAATCGCTGATGAAATCCAAAAGTACTGCCAACACCTTCAATAAGAGGGGCCCTTGGGGCATATGCAGAGGGCATAATGTAACCCCTCCAAGAGTGGATTTCAGAGTTCTTGGTAGTCTTAGAAAACAATACTGGGGTAGTGGTTGTGGGTTTTAGTTTTTCCCATTAAAAAGATTTGCTTAGCGATGTCATGGTTTTGCTTTTTGTCATCAGCCCTGGGCTCAGTGGGTAGGTACAATTAAGTGTCATCCCAGAACCTGCTCTGTCCTGATCACACCGTATCTCCAGTTTGGAGTCTTGTTCTGGACCCTACATTTTAGGAAGGACATTGAAAAGCTGGAGTGCATCCGGAGGTTCCTAACCAAGATCACAAGGGGTATTCAAAACCATGCCATAGAAGATGGAGTTGAAGAATCTGACAGTGTTTATCTTGGAGATGAGAAGACTTTGGGTGGGAATGGGAGCTGAAGGTAGGTGGTGACTGCCTTCAAGCATCTGCAAGACTGTAGATATGGAAGAGGTAGAATTGAATGTATTTCATTGTGGAAGAAGGATGAGACTTGGAACTTTTGGCCCTAGAGGGCAGAACTGAGAGTAGTATATGAAAGTGAGAGAGAGAAATGGAGGGGGGGGAGGAGTGGAATGAAGGAGAGAGAGAGAGAGGAGAGGGAAAGGAGAGGAGAAGGGGAAGAGAGAGAGAGACAGAAGGAGGGAGGGAGGGGGAGAAAGAAAAAGAGATAGAAGAGAGAGAGAATGAGAGGGAAAGGAGAGGAGGAGGGGGGGAAGAGAGAGAGAGAAGAGGGGGGAGAGAGAGAAAGAGAGAGAGATGGAGGGAGGGGGAGAGAGAAAAAGAGATAGAGAAGAGAGAGAGAGTTGGAGGAGGGAGGGAGAGAAAGGCTTGTTATTAGGGAAATTCCTTCTGATGAAGATTAGGCCCATTCAGAAGTACAGTGGACTGTCTCCAGAGGTAATTAATAATAATAACTCATATTTATAAATCACTAAGGTTTGCCAAGTACTTTTCATATCTAATATAGTGAGTTCCCTATCATGGAAAGGTGGATGATTTCCTGGCAGGTCTGTTTTTGAGAGTGTTCCCTCTCAGATATGGGTTGCAATCAATCATTCCTGAGGCCCTTTCCAGATTTGGGATTCAGTGATTATGTTTTATTCTTCAGTGCTTGGTTACTTCCACAAACTCATCAGTGTGAAGCCTTGCTCCAGTGGTGAGGAACGCAGTCTGTTCCTTTCATGAATCCGCATCCCACATGACTCTGGTCCATATTCTCCCATAAATCCTCTGCTAGTTATTAACCCAATGTTCTGGGGCCTTCTCTTTGATGGTGTGGATCCTAGTACAGCATGTTACTCCGTCTATTTGTTACGCCTCTTTCTTCATGACTCGCTTCCTTTTCCAGTCATGCATCTAGGGCATAGGTTCTTAACCTGGTTCTTTTTTTTTTTTTTAACATTATGATAATAATATTTCAGCATAATTTGTTTCCTTCATACTCCTGTGTATATTATTTTATATATTTAAAAACTTTATTCTGAAATGTCTATAGATGTCCCTCAGATTGTCCAAGCAGCCATGAAACAAACAAACAAAAAAGGTTAAGGAAGCCTGGGTTGGTTGATATGTAACACTTTTGGCATAGAATTTGCCATTGGCAAATAATATACTGTACCCCACCCCACCCCCATACTCACCGTGTATCTCTCCATTGCCCTTTAGGTTGGGAACAATTTAAATTCATTGGAGAATGTGATAGTTCATGATTCACATAACTGGCACAACATTGGTATTACAAAAAGATGAGTTTTTATTTCAGGGTGAATTTTGGGGTGATTGAAAGCCACTGTATATTCTCCCAAGTACCATTCAACCTATTCCATTCTTCCTGTTTAAATCTAGGCCCATTTTGTTTTCCATCTATGGTGACTCTTAAATCTTTGCAAATCGACAGAGACCTGAGTTTCTGTACACAACTTTTACAAACCCTTTTGATTTCTTACTGAGAGCTCAGGGTTTTGTTCTTCCACCAGTTAGCACAGAGGAGAACCTAGGCAGTGTACTAGTGGTTATAGATTCCCTTCATAGACCTGACAGCTAAATCCTCATCTTTCATGGAAAGATAATAGCTTGCAAACGGAATAAAGGACTTCCAACTCCTAGTAGGATATGAATGGTTCAAACCGAAGTGACCTTGTAGGTTGGACCATGAAACCAACACATCTGCCGCTACTTAGTGGCCAGGCCAGTAAATTACAAAATCCAGTTTCTAGAGGTGAATTAACTTCTTGAAAATTGAATGGCAAAATGTAAAGTCATAAGTTCATGACATACATGGAGTGGAAAGAGGCCTTGTGTTCAAATCCCAGTTCTTCTACTCGGGCAAATCACTGACCTAACCTCTCTGGGTCTCAATCGTCTAAAATAAGGGTGTTTTACTAAGTCTTTTCTTTGACCCCTTTGAGGTCTAGGTCTGTGATCCACAGTTTCCTGTGTATCAGTAAAGATGATATTGGAGGATCCAAACCCAAGGGGCCTGTCCCATCTGGCTGCACTACTTTGGGCCTTCTCTGACATCCCCACTAAGCCTCCATGTTGGATACCTTCTCCTTCCCCCCCACCCTATCTTTTTGTTTTTGTGTGTTGTCTTCCTTCCTTGAGTGCAGGGACTGTTTTTCTTTTTTCATATTTATATCCCTCTCACTTAGCCCAGTGCCAAACACATAGCAGATACTTAATAAATGTTTATTTACTGATTATTGTAACAAAATAACTGCTCTACCTCTCTCTGCCAATGCTGTAGAAGAATTTTCTTCCTTCTGCTAACGAGTATTTTATAGGAGCATCACTTAAACAACAGAGTTATTAAGTACCTGCTTGGTTCCAAGCCCTCTGCGAGGCTTTGGGGGTACAAATACAAATATGGGACAGTTCCTGCCCTCAAGGAGCATCTATTCTAAGTAGGAGATCCAACCCATGTAAGACTGATGGTGGGGAAAGGCGCTTTGGTTTAGGCAGGCACGGGGATTCTGAGCAGAGCCATAGGGCAGGCAGAAAATGATCACACACTTTGCAACAGCAGTATTGGTTTGGTTATTGTTTTCAAAGCAAGGGCAAGAAATTGACAATAAATCAAACTCACATCGGCAAGAGGGTAGATGTGGCAAGATGCCTGTGCCATAGACCTTGGCTTTTTGGTGGGTGGGTAGGTGAGATATGGAGCATGGTCTGAGACTGGCTAGATCTCAGCCTGGAAAAGTCCTCAGGGGCCATCAAATCCAGCTCCTTCTTTTTGCGATGAGCAAACTGAGGCCATGCAGGTGAAGTGATTTGCCTAAAGTCACACGGGTGGTAAGATCATTCAGGTGGCATAAGGCAAATTGTAGAAGCCTGTCTCTCTATTAACAGGTGAAGTCAGATAACCAGTCCATCAATCCACCTCCTTCCTTGCTTCAGCTAATTGTCTTCTTTTTCAGTCCTTAGCTTGTCCTGAATAGTTGCATGAGATGAACTTTGCTCTGGATATCGGTTTTTGGGGCCCAACTGAATAGTAGTGAAAGCCAGTCAAACTCATTTCCTTGGTACCCAGTTCAGTTTTTCAGGTTTGGACAGTTTGCTTCTGGTCCTGTCATCTTTCCCTTGTCCCTTCTCCCCACCTGTCACTTTAATTTTTACTTTCCCCCGCTTATCTTGTGTAAATCTCTAAGACTCCTATTGTTTTCAAGTTTCTCTTTCCTTGTCTGCCTCTGTTTCTATGACACCTAGCACCATAGTAGCCAGGCACCAGCCTAAAACCTGAGAAGCTGGCGACAGGGAAGGGAATTTCTAGGGTTTGGTAGGGACAAGAACTCTGGCACTTAAAGCACACTGGCTTGATAGCAGTCAGCGTAGGTAGGGGTGGTTTGACACCAAACTAATTACATCCAAGATTGTGTCTGTTTTTAGAGAAAATAGCCTCCCTATGGATCTTGTATGTGATAGGGAGTGAAATAAGAAAAACTACAGAAGAGACAGGAGTGAGGAGAGAAGGCTTAGAGAAAAGAAACAGAGAAGACATGGGGGAAGAAAAACAAAACAACAAAGGTAAAAGGGTCCTTGACAGTTATCTGGTCCAGCCCATACCTGAGCAGGAAAACCTGTTGTTGTTTCTCCTTCATTCTCGAAGAGGATCATGATATCATGGAGGTGATGCCATGTATGTGAACCAGATTTAAATGAGGGAGGGCTGTGCAGGGTTACATGCCTCACTTTCTTCTCCAGAGCCATCTAGGTCCAGTGACCAGATACACATCGGGACAACTGGAGATGGCCCATTGTGGAGGACAGAAGGGCGTGATGCGCTATAGTCCATGGAGTGGCTGGGCATGGTGACATACACATCCATGATCTCTACTACTGGGGAGGCTGAGGCTGATGGGTCTTTGGGAGTTCTGAGCTGCAGTAGGGCTAAATGAGGCATCTCTGTGAAGTTCAGCCACAATATAGTGAGCCCCCATGAAGCCATCTAAGGAGGAATGCATCCACCCAGGTCAGAAATTGAGCAGGTCAAAACTCCCATGCCAATCAGCAAGTGGCTGCTGCACTTCTAACCTAGGAGAGATAGAAAGACAGCCTCCAAAATAATGAGGATGAAGATGATATCCTCCACAACATCATTAACTTCTTTTGTTGGTGGTGCTCAATTGTTTCAGTAGTGTCTGACTCTTCATGACCTCATTTGGGTGGTTTTTTTTAGGCAATTGGGGTTAAGTGACTTGCCCAGGGTCGTACAGCTAGTAAGTGTCAAGTGTTTGGTCTGAGGCCGGATTTGAACTCAGGTCCTCTTGACTTCAGGGTCAGTGCTCTATCCACTGCGCCACCCAGCTGCCCCTAATTTGGGGTTTTCTTGGCAGAGATACTGGAATGATCTGCCATTTACTTCTCTAGCTCATTTTACAGATGAGGAAAGTGGGGCAAACAGCGTTAAGTAACTTGCCCAGGGACACCCAGCCAGTAAGAGCTAAGGCCAGATTTGAACTCAGGTCTTCCTGACTCCAGACCCTGCACTGTATCGACTGCACTACCTCGTTGACGTCTAACCTTCCCTTAAAGACCTTCAGTGATGAGGATCTAACTCGCTCTTAAAGTAGCCCATTTCACTTTTGGACAGCTCTGTTAGGTTTTTTTCTTTCTT